GAAATTCGTTTATCATTAGAAATACTTATTAAAAAGTTAAACAAAACGCTGTCTTCCCGAAAAGTTTATATTTCGAAAGCATGGGAGGCTTCATAAAAGTCAGAAAAAATAAATATATCAATTTTCCTACTGACTGCGTTTTATTATTTACATTACTTGGAAAATATATCGGAAATTATAATCACCCTGCTATGTATGTCTAAATATGACATTTAGTACTACATTTACTTTAGTTCATTTTTTTCTAACATTTAGTGGGTCTGATCTTTTATCATCGTTCTTTCTATATTTCTCTACCCTATATTTTCAGTTTTATACAATTTCCTGTCTTTTAAAATAATAGTTACAACATGAGGTGACGTTATTACATGCATCTATATGCAAATACTGTATTTAGAATACCTTTGTGTAGCATCCCATGTTCCCTGCATCCTGTTATTTTGTTATCTCTGTCCCCTCGCTTCACCATGTATCCCTGTTCCTTCGCGTGTAGGCCTACACTCCTGCACCGCTTGACCATTTGCGCTAAATTTGCTCAGTTGATAATTTTAATGTGAACCACATCGGTAGTGAGTACTTGCTTCCGACAACGACGATCAAGGCAAGTAGGAATTAGTAAACACCAATGCAGTAATGTGTAGGTAAATATGAAATAGGAAACCGCCACAACAATGAATAATTTTCACTTTTATGGCTATTTTCTTTTTAACAGGAATTAACTGAAGTCATGTGAGTATTATCTACCAGTCTGATGCATCTGACTAATACAAATCGTAGGTTTAGATAACTTACATCAGCGCAGGATTAGTTAATCCATGAATATAATAAAAGTTTCCACTTCATATAGTACATCGGGTGTAAGTTCGTTAATATTTTAGGTTATAATCCAGTTGACATCAGATCGCCTGAACGAAAGATTGTGGCAAAGTTTCGTTGTGTTTATTACATTTCAGAAATTGATTGCGAAATTGCTTTTAATACGAGTCAGTGGTATAAATGAGCTGTCTATATAAGTACTTATATAGACCTTGCTGTAGACATGAGCTTCGTACACGCGTCGAAACAATCAGTAGGCTTATGTAACACCAAAATAGTCGTCTCCCGAGAGATAAGGTGAGGTCACGAATGTTTGGACAACCCTTTAGTTTGGAGACATTTTGAAAGAATTACGGGGCTGATGAAATGATGTTTGCAAATCGCACAGTGCAAAATAAAATGTACTTAATAAAATAATGATGTTAAAATATTCTACTAACAGGCACGCACTCCCCCACCCCACCCCACATACATACACATATATTTGGAAAAAAATGCATGTATCTCTGTACTCAACCGTTCCGGTGAGTGACGCGGCGTTTGACGCATCGGGGGAAAGGCAGCAATAGCACTGTTACACAATTCTGATCTTGTTGCCCGTGTAATGTGTAAACATTCAGTACACATGGGTGCGGCTGATTACTGCGATACCACTATCAGTGGATTCTTTTTTACGACTACTAATATACATAGGTCATATATAGCGGCCCCTCAATCCTCTACAAATTTGACCCCAGTTGCAGGAAAGGGCATAAAAATTATCAGGCAAATTGCAGGGAAAAATTACACAAATTAGGTCATCACATAATCCAATACATGGATCCCACCTGCGCGCGCATCGCCATTGTTGTTGCTAGGGAACAACACCTGCAGTGAAAACAAATCTGAAGGAGCGCTCATGTAACACAGACTCTCTGATTATTTCTTGTTTATTCCTTCCGAGATGCCCCTAAGTTGTGCAGCATTTGGTTGCAAAAATCACAATAAGATATTAGACTTTTTTCAATTTCCCAATAATGATCCTGCCACTTGCAGGCGAAAGAACAAAGATGGAACTCCCTGGAATCAACTGAAAAGAACGTTTACCCTTGCGGAAGGCATTTCGTCACTGGTTAGGAATAATTTTGTTAGCGTATTTACTCATCTAAAATAAAAGATTAAATAATTTCTCATTCCGTTGTTTTCATGCCGTGTAAAGAGCCACCCAAGGTGAAATGGGTACTTCATTCAATCTTTGTGATGACGGCCTTCATTTATCCAAGCGTCGGCTGGCAGTTGATATGGGCGAACTTCCAGGCCAAGGTCTGTATAAGCACTTATATAGACCTTGTTCCAGGCTACAAACATTCAACTTGTTCAGATAACTAGATTTTGCTTCTCCTTGAAGTTCCTCATAGCTGTATGAAGCCATCTTAACGACTGGAGATAGATTCCGAACGCAATATTTTATTTCACTTCCATGTCACGCTGCAATGAAGAGAGCCCAGCAAGGGGTTTGTTTTCACTGCAGCCAAGTTGCCACCTATGTAGGGGTTTGCACCCCGTGACCCCACAGGGAGAGCTGCCGTCCCAACCCTTACAAAAGAATCCTTTAGATATTTGAGGATGGATACACTGAAACAGTGCGTACTGTGACCACATTCTCATCATTTACCATGCCGATAGATATCTTTTGCAGCTCCCGGCGACCCCCGCCCCTCCTGGCCAGGATGCTCTCCCCAAACACCGCCTTGGATCCTCTAAGTGTTAGTGATAGGGTGCAGGGCAAAACCGGTCACTGCCATCTCACAGGTTAGTAAATTCTTTGGTCTAGACCCAGTCTTTCCGTGGATGCGTAGAGTATTCTTTGTGGTCAGTCTATATTGGGGGCGGATGCCCTATCCGTTGGGTATAATATGATGTTTACACAAGTAATTTTCATTCTCATGTTTTAATTTGCTACATCACATCCTGATTTACGGGCTAATATCTCTCTCTCTCTCTCTCTCTCTCTCTCTCTCTCTCTCTCTCTCTCTCTCTCTCTCTCTCTCTCTCTCTCTCTCTCTCTCCTTTCTCTCTCTCTCTCTCTCCTCTCTTCTCTCTCTCTCTCTGTCTCTCTCTCTCTCTCCTCTCTCTCTCTCTCTCTCTCTCTCTCTCTCTCTCTCTCTCTCTCTCTCTCTCTCTCTCTCTCTCTCTCTCCTCTCCACTCTCTCTGTGTCTCTCTCCCTTCTCTGTGTCTCTCTCTCTCTCTGTCTCTCTCTCCACTTCTCTCTCTCCTCTTCTGTGTCTCTCGCCACTTCTCTTGTGTCTCTCTCCACTTCTCTTGTGTCTCTCTCTCTCATCTCTCTCTCTCTTTCTCCACTTCTCTGTGTGTCTTCTCTCTCCACTCTCTCTCTCTCTCTCTCTCCATTCTCTCTCTCTCTCTCTCTCCTTCTCTCTCTCTCTCTCTCTTCTCTTCTCACTTCTCTCTCTCTCTCTCTCTCTCTCTCTCTCTCTCTCTCTCTCTCTCTCCTCTCTCTCTCTCTCTTCTCTCTCTCTCTCTCTCTCTCTCTCTCTCTCTCTCTCTCTCTCTCTCTCCTCTCTCTCTCTCTCTCTCTCCCTCTCCCCTCCCTCTCTCTCCCTCCCTCTCTCTCTCTCTCTCTCTCTCTCTCTCTCTCTCTCTCTCTCTCTCTCTCTCTCTCTCTCTCTCTCTCTCTCTCTCTCTCTCTCCCTCTCTCCTCTCCCTCTCCTCTCTCTCTCCTCTCTCTCTCTCCCTCTCTCCTCTCTCCTCTCTCTCTCTCTCTCTCTCCTCTCTCTCTCTCCCTCTCTCCCTCTCTCTCTCTCCTCTCTCCCTCTCCCTCTCTCTCTCCCTCCTCTCTCTCCTCTCTCCCTCTCCCTCTCTCTCTCTCTCTCTCTCTCTCTCTCTCTCTCTCTCTCTCTCTCTCTCTCTCTCTCTCTCTCTCCACCACCCCACCCCTAGGAGAGAGAGAGAGAGAGATGTAGATATTGACATACTTAGATATTTGATGTCATTAGCAGTATTTTTCTTGCAGAAATGTAAGTTGGATCATCATTGGCAGCATCAATGGTTTTCAGTCTGTTATCATCAATTTTGATTATTGGAAAAGTAAGTATTTCTGCATCAATATTTCATAGACTGCTGTGTTTAGGTTAAAACTACAGGGCCATTGAAATTTTTATTACAGTGGTTAACATGGAAGGCAGATAGCTGTTAGGAAGCATGTTGATTTGATTAATGATAATTGCAGTAATAATTACTGACTGTTTTTGAAAAAATATTATTTTGATTTTTATCAGGAAATGCAATTATTTCTAGATTATCCTTTTTGTGTTGCCTCTTTCATACATTTTGTATATGGTTAATTGTAAGAAGGTTTATAAAGATAGTAATAAGATGTTTGATTCATATTTTGATAATCACATTGTCTGTATTACATGTATATTCAGAAAAGATAATTTCATATTTTCATATCATTGTTATTCATATTTTTTCACATTTTAAGCACATGATTCAATGCAGATATTGAAAATGGGTTTTGTTTGATGCAGTTTTACTGTATTTCAACTTAACTATCTCATAAACCATATGTTTGGCTTTATCAAGTTTAACAAGTAGAGAGTCTATCAGAATTATATATTTTTTGTTATTCAAATCATGAGTGGTTGATATGTAAGCCTGCACTTATTTTGTATTGTATGTAGTATTTATTGTGAATTTTTAAGATAATTGTAATTTATGTGGGTTTGAGATATTTTCTTAGACTGGTATTTTGATGATTTCAGAAAGATTTTCTTATTTATAAAGTAAAAATTACAGACACCCAAACATACATATTGGTATACATACATACATACATATATACATATATGGATAAATGCATACATATACATATGTGGATGAATGCATACATATATACATATGTGGATACATGCATACATATACATATGTGGTTACATGCATACATATAAACATACTAAGTACCTACGTATGTATGTATATAACCAGTTTTGAATGTATCTTCATCAGGAATACATGAGTTTCTGGCAAAGATACATTTGAAACGAGTTAAATACATCTCTTGTATTGTGAAGCTATTCGTTCTCATGCATACCTTTTCTACATATATTTTTTAAGTAGGAAAGTTGTTATAAAGTACCTGAGAAGATTACTCAAGGCTTCCTCATGACAATATACATACCGTCCA